GAAATCGCCGTTTGCAAGTTGGTTCGGATACCATTGATTAGGTAGGTCAAGAATTGAGAAGAAAAGACAAGTGCCACAGTCGAGCTCAGATCTGGAGTTTCGATAGCAGTCGGCAAAAGTACGAATGAGGTATCATCAAGGAAACAATCAAAATTCGATCTCATTAGAACTATGAACGACTGTCAAAAAATCAACGCTCATACATATCTCTTCCTCAAATTAGTCCTCCTGCTCATAATCCAACACCATTGGTCCTTAAGTTGGCAGTACTCGAGCTGTCGGAAGGCTCAATCGTCTGATGAATCGTCGTCTCTCTCAGAATTTCTCGTCCTTCTGGGGAGCCTGAGCGCGTCTTGTCGTCGTTTCGAATCATTTCTAATTCATCGAGCTCTTCATATGGCGTTCTGGGTGTTCTCATACTGTTCTTCCCACCAATACGTCGTGATGATCCGTACTCGTAAGAATCGTTTCCTGTCGTAATGGGCTTGGGGAAGAAATGCACCCAGATTGGCCGGAGTGTTGGGAGACAAGCGCAAACAATGGCCAGCGACAGTTCAATGTTGGTCCAGAAGAAAACGGGGGCGGTGTAATCTTATGTCATCGTCAGCGAAGGAGCTGGAGTTGATCAGTCCAAGTGTGACTTACAGATGACATCGTTAGGATGCTTGACATATTCTTCGGCGATAGCAAAAGTAGCTACCACTCTCGTGACACTCACGGCACAGACGCTACATTTTTGTCAGCAACCTTTTTCCTTCCCAACGACATTGGAAAACTTACGCAGCGCCAAGTCCTAGCATTGCGATGACTGCAAGTTTCTTCTTGAGGGGCATCTGGACTTTGAGAACCATCGCGACAGGTAGTACGAGGATGACAAAGTCGGCAATGACGTCGGTGAATAGAAGCGCGAGGAACATCGGTACCGTCTGAACACACGAGTTGCCATAGTAGGGCTCGATGAACACCGTGATGGGGAAACAAGTAAAGAGATGGGAGAAGAAGAAGCTGACCGTCCATCCGATCACAAAGGCTAGTACCCCAAAGACGACGTAGCGAAACCTTTGGCTTGGGAAGAGGGTGTAATACAACACGAGAATAGATGATTTGACGAGCCCTAAGCCCAGGATTGAAATCATGTTAAGTGCAAACTTTGTCTGATGTGCGAAAAGCTTGTTAGCTATGTGCCAGATGCGACGCCGGCGAGCTGGAGAGACAAACTCACCTCTTCGAAGAATATCAACCCTGGATCATCCATAATTGGGGAGCCGTCGGGGAACGTGGGCTGATGTTGTCCCAAATGACCGTGAATTGCAGCTTGCCTTCGCGTCAGTTCCTTCTTCTTGCTAAGTGATCATGGAAATTCCAGACATACTAGCTAGTTGCAGAGTACAGCAGGTGATTGATACCAGCTGTTCAAAGGAGACACCGGTCAGCATTTGATATTATTTAACCAATGGCTCCAAGCTCCATCTGTAGACTTACCAGCGCTGCTCCGGTTAGGTAGTCGTCCCAAGCAAACCTTTTGACGAGTAGCTTCGCCCAGACGCGAAGTCCATAAAATACTGTAGGAATGACCATAAACCCAATTGCCAGGCCGATCATCTGACCCTTGGTGTAGTCATGGTTCATTGTCACCATGCTGGGCGACTTGGGACCGTTTGCGCGATGTCAAAAACACAAACTTCTGCCGAATTTCGATCGCCGCCGCCGCAAGATGGTCGGGAAAAGTCGAGGCTGCAAGCAAGGAGCGTATTGAATCTGCACAGCAGGCAATCCAAATGCGGGAATGTCACTGGAGATGCTGAGAGATATGTATCACAAAGATCTGAGGGGTCATCCTGTTCATGATGATAGCGGAGGTGCAGTGAAGAAAGTGCAGATTGTCACAGTCGCCTTCCCGCGAGAGACAACCTTTTCCCTTCCATCGAGTGCTGGCGTAGCATGTGGCACTTACCGCGTTGCAATGGTAGTAGCACTACCATGATAAAACAAGATAGCATTCAAGCACTCAGGGCAGTGCCGCAGGGGGTAGGAAGTTATCTGCCACTGATAAAACTCAAGGTTCTCTCAGGCGGGAGCGCGTCCTTGATCACAGCAAGAACTGGTTATCATGCCCTGTGTTTCGGACGACCCGAGTCAGGTTCCTTGTCCCCAATTACCCCAGTGAGCGTGGTCAAAGGCCGTGACGTTGCAATGCGAACTCTTGAAGCCCCACTCGTTCCCTTGTTTAGAGGCACGGCGAGTGACAGAAAACCGTGATTCACCCCCGGGGTACCGGGGGTTGAAATACCGTGAACTCTAATTACCCTCCTTTCGGGTTCCGGTTCCTGAAGTGGGCAGAGCTACGAGCAGAACATTTGCCTATGATTTTCCGTTTGCCGCCGAACGAGATGAGTCTCAGTGATTTAGACTCTTGCAACTTGGGATGATCGATAGTCAAAATGACATTGGTTCCGGAACCATGGCTATAGGGTTGGACGTTCGTAATGGTTTGGTCACAGAAACAGGCAAGCATTTTCAACTAACATAATTGAAGGCACCAGTACCAGAAAAAATTCTTTCCGCGATCCGCGGGTTCTTGCGGTTTATACCGTTTGGTAAAACATCTCTGGTAATAGCGTCGTTGTGTAAGCAGAGGTACGCAGTATGTATCTCGTAATGATCCCCCTTTTCACCCCTGGCATGGCGCACGCACCTTGATACCTGCACAGCTGCAGCCTACATTACCCCCACGGAATAACTCGAAAGCTTTTGGGGGACCATGCATTGGTGCGTCGTAAGGGAAGAACTTATGAAACTTTATCGGCTGGCTTGCGTTGTTATTGCACAGATGATGTGTGGAAAGAAGCCAGACGAACTGACACTGCAAGCACTCCTTGCTTGGATCGCAACAGAGCTCAGGTGGTCATTCCCGTAGCTCTCTCAATTTTGAACGGTTACCGCGATGATATATGATACCGACAAGCGCGATCCCGGCATGTGGTATTGCCCTCCTCCCACAGTCGTCGTTCTTTTGAACATTTGAAAAGCTGCTTCGTTCATGACAGGCCTGATTCAAGTCAGGGAAGCATAGCTGCCAACAGAGATAATGAGGAGCAGACCCTGATACGAAGGACTTCCGAGCGGCAATCTTCTCTATCTTCCCGATACTGGCTCAGCTATCCAGCTGTTGCCCCATTCTCACTTGGTTGGTGCAAGTCGTCACTTCGGAGATTAGGGCACGGGTGTTTGACATGCTGGCTTAGATCTTGCATCAGCAGCGGTGAATAAAACTCATCCGATCGGGGGCGAGTTGATCCGGACGCAATTTCAAATACTCCCTGCGACTTTGGGTTAACTTACCTAATGCCCCTGAGGATTAGGCACTTTGCAGAATTCCAACCCTACTTTTGTTTAACAATCTGAAGAAAGCCAGCCACTGGTACGCGATATGTCAATAAAGTCATACAAAGAGTTGGGAGCGAAGGACCTCTGTTGGTATGTCCATCGTGTTTATGCTACACGTGGGAATACGATAGCATTCAGCGCAAGCCCTCAATGTGCCATTTTCGCGTGCTAATGAGGATTTAGTGCATGAGTATAGGTAAGAAGACCGAGTTCTATGTATCAATCAAGATTCAAGATAACTTCGTAAGTGGATCCTGCCTGGGTCATACGAGGGGGCGAAAGCCCTTCTACAGTGCAACCTGATTTTGCCCCTCAGCTCTTTTGAGTCTGGAAGGGCATAGAGACTGGCGGACCTGGCCTCAGATTCACCGCGAAAGCCATTACTTATTACATGCTAAAATGAGAGAAGCAATCCATGAAATCTACGCAAATAACCACTATGACCTGGCCGTTTCCGAGCACTATGAGCAGGCTCTTGGTCTTTCAGGGATGAGTTATCCTGCTCCTACAGATGTTTGAAGGTCCCAAGCAGGAAGACGATGCTCAAGCTTTTTGGCTTGCAAGCCCAAACACACTGTCCGTGACGATATCTCGGCGTTCAATGCACCTATAATCAAGACTTGGGCTCTTGGGAGCTCATTGCCTCTGCACCGGCCATTTTGTGTGGATACCAGACGGGGCTTTGAAAGTGGGCTGAGGATAGCGTACTTGGATCGGCTCGTCGGAACGGACCCAATTTATTTTATTGTCTGAAGATGGTATGAGCAAATCCCTACATGGCATCTTGCCTTTGACCACTTAGCCACCTAGGTACTTGTATGAAATCCCCATAATAAGCGGTTTCAATTGCAAGCCAGTGTTGCGCCTGCAACGTTTTCCAAGGGTCAATTGGATCGGCGCACGTTGCAGGATAAGAGTCGGGCTGTTGTTGCTAGCCGAACACATCATAATTCGCACCTGAGCTTCGCTGTTCAACTCCACCTCCAGTGGATCGCGGCGTTGTGGCAGAGTGGTCTAATGCGCAAGACTAGAAATCTTGTTCCTTCGGGAGCGTCTGTTCGAATCAGGCCAATGTCGAGCTGTACGTTACTATCTTTTTTGAGGATGACGATATCAAGAAAGTGAATGTGGGCTTGCTTGGGCGGCAACGTGTCACGCCGTGACGCCTCTACTGCTTTTTGTTGCCGTCTTACTCTCTTTTCAAGTTTTCATTTGACAGGCTCGCTTCATTTCAGAAAGCTGTAGAGTGTCTTGTGCCTCTGGGCTACGAGTACTCGAATTATGGAAAAGTGTATTACTGCCATGCGTTAGAAGTTGCTCAGCAAAGTTGTCTGACAGTCGGCAATAACTTCCAATCATAAGGTAGCAAAGGACAATCAAAAACTGCAAAAAGCATACGAGAAGCTAATGCTTGCTCTTTTGACTATGATCCTATCAAACCGCCCATCCACACGATCCACGCGATCGTAATACATGTCTTCAAACTCGAGCCCCCTTGTACCTATTGTGGCCCAAAACGTCAATTCAGGAAATGGGTGGCTTTTGTCCGTACACCACATGGCTAGGCGATCAATGATCAGTGTCCGAGCAATCGCGCAAGATACCGGCAAGACCTACATATCATACAGGCCATGATAAGCGCCAGTCTTCATTTCATTCCGCACATTCGCAACTTCTACCAGAACCTGCTCCTTGGTCCGCTTCAGAGCACCACAGAACACCCGTAAGGTGAAGCCTTCCAAGCCATCTAGCATTTGTGCTAGGTTGATGAGCCCAAGGTCTTTGTACCATGGATCTTTTGGCCACGGGCCTAGTGGATTTTTGATTTTCTGATGGAAGACGTTCTCGAACCTTTGTTCCCGGACCCAGCCTTCGAGCTTAGGACCCGGGCAAGGATCAATGCCCAGGTTCTCCATGGTTTCCAAAAAGGTCTGATTCCAGTCCCAGGTTACGTGATTTTCCGTGTACGAACCGTCGTCGGAATAGATCTCGGCGTTCATTTCGTGAAATTCAGCCCAGCCTCCTGGGTTCAGATGACTGTATGTTTCAATTAGACTTTTGATTCAACTCCGTAAATGTGTCTCCCACATAATTGATGTTTGAAGGAGCTTGTGAAGGAATGAATCGACCACGCAGTTGCTTCATAGACATGGAAATACGACATACTTGTACACGTTCTCTATCAATTTGGGCCAGTCACGGATAGATGCTGCTAAAAACCTTGTGAAGATGAAGTCATACTTCTTTACTTCGACCCAGGGACTTTCGACGTCGTCAACTTGAAACTTGACATTCTCGGGAACCCTGAATAGTAAGTCACAAATGAGAGGGTTAATAACATCCATTTACATCATGGGGACTTTTTGTAGACTTGCCATGTTGGTTGAATGGCGCTCAGATCAACTCCAATTATCTCTGCGTTTTCGAACAGATCACCCATTTCAATGGCCCCTATCAATTTGTCAGTTATTAGTTTCTATTCGAAAATCCCATAGTCAGAGACAGAAAGACAATACGGTTCACTCACATATTCCTGTGCCGGTCCCGACATCGAGAACAGCATGGATCTTGCTTCTCTCGAGGGGCGCGAGGAAAAGTCTATTGCCAATAGCTCTTGTCATCATCGAATGGCACATGTCCATCCTCTCCATCTCTGGCTCATCATTCGGCATGATATACGCTGTTCCTTTGGATGAGACCAACACAGATGGGGGCTAGGATCCAGAACGAACTCACTCCCAGATCGGAAAGCATGGTACCGTCGGCCGTATTCAACCGGGTAGTCCAGAACGCTGGAAGTTAGGGAAACAGAGTATTTTAAGCTATGAAGCGCGAAGTTGTTAAGCTTGATCTGATAAACTTAATATGGAGGCATACGGACATTTGCTCGTCAATGCTTAACACATCTTTGGACTGTATTTCTTTCAGCAAGGCGCCGGGGAGCTGGAAACCGCAGGTCTGCACGAACTCACAGATTCGCTTTCGAGCGGCACATCGCTGCCTGCTGCTGAAGGGAGTGCAGGTATGCCGTGATCTGTGCACCAATAACCTGTGCCTTCCATCTCGAGAAGTGACAAGGGTGTCTGCAATGCGGGAAAATGGTGGCAAAGTCTGGTTGAAGATGTTGACCTGGGGATTTCCTAAGACTCGCAGAAAAAATGTGCCGCACTCTTGGTTTTGTAGGATTTCTCCACTTTCCAGCCTGCCTTCCTTGTTGGAGGTGGGCTTGGTCGGTTAGAACCAACGCGAAGTGTAGTCTTTGTTGGTTCAGTTCCTCCGAATGCGCCAGCTTGGGGGTACCTATTTGCGAGTCTCATTTCAAGCTTTTGATTCGCCATCATCGGCGCTTATCTTCTCTCTGTTGTTTGCTTCGAGCATGCACCCATGGCCATAGCAGGCATCAGACATCAACCCAACCGCGGCAGCAATCAAATCTACAACTCACTTCATTGCGATGTAAGAATTTTCTTTCCGTAAGGGTGATTGTATTCATCGCCAAACTTCGCAGGAAAAGAGTTATGTTGGTTTGAAAACATGTGGAAATCACCATTGACTGTCCATCTTCGACTATCAAATCGTTCTAACTGCTTTAGAACTTCGCCGTTGACAAGCGCTCGAATCTTTCTGCTTCCTTGAAGATAGCTTGAGTTTATACCAGCACTACCGTATCACTTCGAGCCAACCCAACCAACCCCTGACTCAAGGCAGTGGTGCGGCAACGACTTGCTCGCCAGAGACTTCTTCCTCCGTAGGCTTCCGTCCATAGACCACGTGTCTAGGGAAATGGTGTTAGTCAGAGCCTGCCGAAAAGAAAGATCTAACTCACAGTCTTAGATATGTCTGAAGCTTGAGATCCCTCAAAGCCTTCCGCATTTCGCTGATGAACACAAGAATTTCCGCATCTTCCCATCCCATGATTTGTCGCAGCAAGAAGAACCCAAATCCTTCAAGTGACTGGTCGAGATATTCCAGATTGACGGCGCCACATTCTTTCAACTTAGGGTCTGATGCCCAGCCGCCGATTGGGAAAGGCCAGCTCTTTTCCACGACATCAACAAACCCGGCATCCCGCAGGGCATTTGCAACGCCGTGGTTTCTGGTCTGCTTTGCGGTCTTGCCCAGTCTATCGGTGGCCTCGAAGATAGTCTTCGCCCACCTCCTGTAAATGTGGTCTTGCGGCAGATCATCCCCTAGAGCTTGAGAGTGATCTTCAATATCCCATTCATTTACTTCAATGTATCCACCAGGTACGAGGTGATCGAATGATTGCTTGTACAACCTTGGCCAGTCAGAAACAGCCGCCTCCATGTGACGGATATGAACGTAATTGAAGTGTTCTCGAGGCCAGGTCCACGGCTCCTCGATGTCGTCGATTTGGAATTTGCAGTTTGGCGGAACCCAACCAGGTTGGATAGGTGATATGTCAACTCCAATGACATCAGCTGAAGGAAATTCATCCGCAAAATCGCTGTAGTCGACCAGTCAGTCATTCCCTTTGATTACCGCCCCTCTCCCGATATAAGTCATCGTAGTTGAAACGCGTCACGTAACTTACATTGCCCAGATTCCAGTGCCTGTTCCAACGTCTAGGACTCTCTGGCAGGCGTATGTGTCAGAAATCGGCGGCAGAAGTAATGTGCTCATTTCAGAAACCTACATGAGGAGTTTTACCGATGGGTGCTAAGAAAAGCTTATCGTCGAAAAACAAAAGTTCCAGATAGTGTCTTTCGCATTGATGTTAGAAACGTGCGAAATTAAGAACCATCACCGCCTCGCAGAGACAGTCTTAGAGTGCAGCGTATTGTAGCCTGTTGAGGGCACTTACGCAAGATCGAGCCCTTCATTCTGCTTCTCATCATTTGGCCCCCAATAGTCGGTTTTCTGGGTATATGTGCGCCCTAGGATGCGACGATATTCCGTGATACTCTCGCTAATTGAAGCAGTTGAGGCGGTACGAATACTGTAATGATTAAAGTTTCAGCGACCGAATAGACTACTTGACAGAAACTCTTTCGGCTTACCTCTCCGTCTCAGCTTCAGTCAAGTCCTCATTTTCGAAGACAGGGTCCTTAGGCAAGAGCGGGTCAGCGCAATCCTTATTCTCTACACCCTTGAGGATATCCAATAATACCACATTTGAGCACTTGGAGACTTACGGCAGCTATGGCGCCTGAGTCGGGCTCGTTGGTGCTCCTTGGGGATGAGCTCGTCGAACCAGCTGCCTTCGGAGATGGACTCTCCGGCGATGGAATCGCTGTTCCAGCTGTTGCATCCGGGGTCGAGACCATGCTGGGTGTTTTGAAGGATCTCTGACTTGTAAGCGATTGAAAAATAAGGCAGATGAGTCATGAAAATTAGAGAAAGATTCTGTCGCCGTTTGGATCACCGGTATTTGTATGGGCTAACTGACCCCTCTTTTGCAATGCACTGATTTCTCTGTTGGTTCTATCCAACGCGCGTCCGTTTCTGCACACCAGGGGTTGATTTGCCAAGGGTCGAAGCGAAAGTTCGCTTCCCCGGGCGAATCAGAATGGGAAGTTCTCTATATTTGATGCATATTCTAGGCCCCTTATGGAAGGTCTCTGACGCGCTGGCGGTACAACGATGGCCCTCAATTGGTTTCGATGTGTGCCATTTCAGAGTGGAAACATGCGCCGAACTCATCTGAATAACTAAGTATTTCTCTTTGATCTAATTCTCTAGAAAACCCAGCGCTTGCTTAGCAGTGGCTCTTGACTATCTCTGAGAGAATTGTTAACTTAAGTAGTCAGTAGATATTCACGAAGAAGTATGCTAGATAGGCTATTATTCCTATGAAAGTTCTCAGACAGACTCGGTAAATTACCATTGGCACATTAAAGACCTCATATTTAGCACATGACGGCAGACCTGGGCGGGCCGCAAGTCTATATACAGGTAAAGAAGAATACGAGCAACCACACGTAATAGATCCAAATCCAACGAAGTATTAGTGGTCGACGGTAATCGATTCAAAGGTGTGGTTGGTAGTCTCCGCAAGGTATTGTCGATGACATAAACCATCACTCAATTTTACTCTTGAAAGATTCTCAAGATCGTGGGCATTTTACCATGGTCCGCTCAGTAAGAATGTTCGACTACGACGAGTCTTAGCTCTGTGACTGGGGGTTTGAGCCCACTTCTGTTACTAAAGATGGCACAAAGTAAGGTGTATTGGCTCATTGTTTTGCGAGACAATTTGCATGAGAGCCTGCACCATTTTGTAGCAACCGTGGTCCCCAGTTTCACGTCATGTATTAGAAGTAGAAGCTGTTTAGGTCTTTTGTTTCATACATCTTCTCAGACATAGAAGGCTAGCCAAGTAATAGATTAGGTAGTTTACTTGCAAAGCTCAAATCAACTTTCGTACGCAGACTGTAAGCAATAACCCGCGCGGGAAAAGTGTACGTAGTACTCATCTGGCAATATCTTTGCCCAAACTAAGCTACGAAGAAGCGACTATATCGAGGGCAATGAAGAAACTGAACTATCATAAGCCTGTATAGTATTGATTTTGATAAATCTTTGTAATCTAGCTAAACTTCAACCGTTGCCTCCTGACTGTTGCCTTCCGAGAGGGAGTTATCTAAAATCGTTCACTCTTCACCTTCGACAGCCTTCTCAGGTTTCTTTGCATAAACAACGTGACTGGTGTTTACCAATTGATGTCAGCTGTAATTACGTACACGGTAAATAGGAAGTGAAAGTTGATCGTAAAGAGATGAGGGGAAGAATAAAGCACAACGTACAGCTTGATGTAAGATTGGAGCTTCAGGTCTCTGATGGCCTTTCGCATTTCGCTCATGAAAACCAGGATCTCCGCATATTCCCAGCCCATCACCTCTTTGAGCAGGAAGGTACCGAAGCCCTCGAGGGATTGATCGAGATATTGGAGGTGACACGCGCCCACTTCCTTGAGAGTCGAATCCCTCGGCCAAGCTCCAACAGGTGCCGCCCATTGCTGTTCAACGACGTCGACGAATCCGGCCGCCTCAAGACCCCTAGCAATACCATGATTGCGGCTCTGAGTTCCCGTCTTTCCCAGCCGGTCCATGGCCTCTAGCATAACCTTGCCCCACCTTTTGTAGACGTGACCATCGTCCAAGTCAACGAGCACCTGAGAGCATAGCTCAACGTCTATCTCCTTGACCTCGATGTAGCCTCCTGCCTTCATGTGGACATACGATTGATTGTAGAGCTTCGGCCAATCTGCTACGCTTCCCTCGAGGTGTCTGATGTGAACAAAGTCAAAACGATCAATGGGCCATGTCCACGACTCTTCGATATCATCGATTTGAAATTTGCAATTGGGCGGTACCCATCCTGGCTGAATGGGCGAAATATCAACACCGATAACCTCAGCAGATGGATACTCGTCCGCAAAGTCTCTACGTATCGCTGTTAACACCTTTGAGCACAGACTTGAGGTTTATCGGCCAGCACATACATCGCCCAAATGCCGGTTCCTGTGCCGACATCAAGGACATTCTCGAACAATGTCAGAAATGTTATTCTGCAGTTCAGTGTCATGGGTAAGACGACTGCTTACCGATGGGCCGTTAGCGAAAGGCGCGAGAAATAACTTATCACCTAGAAGAAGAGTCTCCCAATAGTGGCTGCGTGGTATATCAGGTCAGTGCTGGGTGTGGCAAAG